CCTATAGTAAATCAACCCCAGTGGCTCACAACCTCAAAATTGCTATAAAAATGCATCCTCCAAAATTTCCAGAGAATTTACCCATCACAGGCCAAGAGAAATACAAAAGGCTGATCCCCTTCTGAAAGTGTTATTTGCTTGGTAGTCACACTGACCACCTGACTTTAATTGTATATATAGCCAAATGTTTTTTTTTTCTTTTTTCATTTTGAGTAGCATAGGAAAAGGCTAATACTCCTGACAAAATTTCTGTTCACATTCCGTCTTAGAAGCACAACAGGAAGTTAGGGGAAATCTCATAAAGTGAGGGACATTTCCTCTTAAACAGTTGTCCCTGGAATAGGTGGATTGGAAGATTTCCCCCTTCTCTCCTTTCACCTCCTGTTCTGGGGACAACTCTGTTCTGCATTAGACATGATGACACCAATGGATAATCCATAAGTTGAAGTGCAGGGGAGTGCCAGCTGCCAGAACAGTGGGGACCAGGTAAGCAAAACTACTTTTTCTCTTGCCCTAGAAACTGCAAGGAATTTTTGTTTTCCCTGGAGATTGGCTTCAAGTGCAGACAGTGAAGTAAAAACTTCCTTTTTGCACATTTGTTTTGGGTTAGTGAGTCGGTGAACAATGAAATAATTATTAGATCAGCATGACAACCAGGCAACTGAATGAGAGGTCAGCAATAACAGCCTCCACATTGCTATCAGAATGTTTGCCTTGTGTTGGTTCACAATAATTTCAGTTTTAAAACCAAATCCAACATATTAGTAACCAGGGGCGGACTGACCATTTGGAAACTTGGGCACTGCACTAGGGCCCTGGGTCAGTAGGGGGCCCCATGAGATGACCCTGGTACCTTTTTCATAGGCTTTTTTGAGTTTGGGCAAGGACACAGGGGCCCCATGATCCCCTATTGCCCGGGGGCCCCATGATTTGTCAGTCCACCCCTGTTAGTAACCCTTCCTCCCATTCAGGTCCAACTAACCTCTGGTAAAAAGAAAAAAAAAATCCCAATACCCAGTTTACCTACCTGAAGCCATGCTCACATTATGAACCTTTTCTCTTCCTTTTTTTTCACCTTGGGGTCCTTTTTTTGGTGTCCACATCACTGTCTGCTTGATATGCATACCTACTAATGGTGGAGGCAATATTACCAACGGCCTGGTCCTGTCTCATAGGCTCCGAGGGCAGGAGAAATCATGGGGGCAGTAAGGGGACTGGTGGCCAAGCAGATAACGGGCAGGGAAAAAATGTCTGGTTGCCAGGGCAAGAAATTAGCTTGGCTCATAGAGGAAACTGTGACTTTCATCCATTACATAGAAAGATGGCTTAGGAAGAGGTGTCTGGAATAAAAACTGAGCATGCACAATGCATTATTTAAATTTCATTTTTGCCTGGAGTTGAGTTGTGAACCCTTACACATACCCAGTGAAGTGAGTGGCCTCCAACACAAATCCTCCAACACAAGTGGTACCTGTTTATCTGCGTATTCACTTCTCTACATCCATTCAAAGTGCTGACTTTTAAAGCTTGTCTGAGAGTTACAAAAAAGATGGGCAGAGAGCTGAAGTTGCAGTCTGTAGAGCCCAGTAAGGAGAGCTCTGAGAGCTGATTGGATGGAAGAGGCACCCCCCTCCCCCTGCCACACAGCTCACAGGAACAGAGCTGAGGCTGTCAATCTGCTGGAGGTCCCTCCCCATCACCTTTTTTCTCTTGGTGTCAGGAAAACCTGTCAGAAGTGACTCATGCTGATAGCAGAGGAATGAAGCAGCAGACAGAAATGATGATTAGTGTTTTTAATTGAGACAAGGACACACTATAGAGGGATATGCTTTGTTCATTTTTCATGTCTGAGGTTTACAACCACTTTAAAGAATCAAGTTATAGCTGAAAATGAACAGGGATAAAAGTCCTATTATTTTAAAGGGTTCAAGGAGGACTAAATAATAAATGTACTTGCATCCATTGCAAGGAAAATAGGTAAAGTGTTAGCTGGTTTTATTTAGTGGCTGCTTTTAGCTCCTTTTCAATCAGTAGGTTGATGTTTAGCTGAACCTGCTTTCTTCTAAAGAAATATAACGGATAAAACAATTGTATAAAAAAGTATACACATTTTTATAGTGTAACTGTGTCTTATTTGTGCTCTTTATAAAGAGTACTAGCAAAAAGGTCAAAAAAAAAACTTCGCCTCTTCCTGTATATATTGTTACTCATAGTTTTTAAGTGCAATTTCTGTTTTTGCTTCAGAATCTAAATCTTAGAGACAGTGCTGTCAAACAATTTTGGTGATGGTTTCATATTCCATTGACGAGGGGAAAACCTTTCGTATGAAAGAAAGTGTGAATGTCAGATTACAAGCTTTTTCTTCTGGCTGCTCTCATAGCAGCTGTGACCATTCTTATGCGAGGAAGAAAGAGTATATTAATTGTTTCACTTCTTGAAATGTCATTGCAGTTAAGGCACATTCCCACGAGAGCCTATTCTCCAGTAAATACAGCGCACTGTCTTTCTCCTTGATATAAATACATTGGTGAAAACCAAGTGGAGATGTGACATTTAAAACTATCAGGATCAGGTATTTTCCTTCAGGGCTAACAGGAAAAAAAGTCATTGGAAAAAAGAGAAGAAATCTAAGAGGTGTTCTGGTCTAAAACATGATTTTGCCAATGATGAAAGGGCAAAGGGATAGATTACTTTTAGGCAGTTATTATTAGCACCTTCAATGCATTCTTCTCCTGAGAACTATAAACACTAGGACACATTGCAAATGTTTCAATAGGAAACCATGACTGGTATCTGCTACTGCTGCTGGGTGGTACCCTGTTGTAGCAGCTCAAAGAGTTCATTTTTGGTTCTTAGAATACAATACATTGTCATTTGTTATAAAAGGAAGGGATGGCCATTGTGATGACTGATTTCCTTATGTGAAACTAAAAATCTGATATACTTTTCAAAGAGTAGTATACACAACTTAACAATATGATCAGGCTGTTGGGGTAAATCTTTTCAAGAGAACAGCTCACAAAATATGTGAAAAGTGCAATAACTTATAGCAGCCAATAGGATATCAGATGACTGAGTTTAGCTCAGTGAAAGCTAGGTTCTGATAGGTTAAAACTTGCATTTCTGGGTAGCACAGTGGCTAAGTGGTTAACATTGCCATCTGGCACTGGGGTTGCCACATCAAATCCCAACCACAGCACCACCTGCATAGAGTTTGCATGTTCTCCCTGTGCCTGTGTGGGTTTCCTCCGGGTATTATGGTTTCCTCTCACACTCCAAAGACATGCTGGTAGGTTAAGGTTAATTGGCTCCTGTCTAAGTTGGCCCTAGTATGTGTATGTAATGTGGGTTAGGAACCTTAGATAATAGGCTCCTTGAGGGCAGGGACTGACGTGAATGTAATGTTACTTTATATACAGTGTGTGTGTGTGTACACTGCTCAAAAAAATTAAAGGAACACTTTGAAAACACATTAGCTCTCAATGGGGAAAAATATAATGCTGGATATCTATACTGATATGGACTGGGTAATGTGTTAGGAATGTAAGGATGCCCCATTGTTTGATGAAAATGATCAACCTACAGAGGACTGAATTCAAAGACACCCCGAAAATTAAAGTGAAAAAAATGATGCAGCAGGCTAGCCCATTTTGCTGAAATTTCATTGCAGCAACTCAAAATGGTACTCAGTAGTTTGTATGGCCCCCACGTGCTTGCATGCATGCCTGGCAGCGTCAGGGCATGTTCCTAATGAGACGACGGATGGTGTCCTGGGGTATTTCCTCCCAGATCTAGACCAGGGCATCACTGAGCTTCTGGACAGTCTGAGGTGCAACCTGGCAGCATCAGATGGACCAAAACATGATATCCTGGAGGTGTTGTATTGGAACGATTTAGGTTGGGCAAGCATGGGGGCCATTCAATGGTATCAATTTCTTCATCCTCCAGGAACTGCCTGCATACTCTCGCCACGTGATGCTGGGCATTGTCATGCACGCGTAGGGTCTGACAATGGGTTCAACGATTTCATCCTGATCATTAATGGCAGTCAGGGTGCCATTGCCTAGCCTGTAGAGGTCTGTGCATCCCTCCATGTCTCCCCAGACCATCACTGACCCACCACCAAAATGGTCATGCTGAACAATGTTACAGGCAGTATAACATTCTCCAGGGCTTCTCCAGACCCTTTCACGTCTGTCACATGTGCTCAGGGTGAACCTGCTCTCATCTTTGAAAAGCACAGGGCACCAGTGGCAGACATGCCAATTCTGGTGCTCAATGGCAAATGCCAATTGAGTTCTATGGTGCCGGGAAGTGGGCACAGGGCCCTCAGGCCACCCTCATGAAGTCTATTTCTGATTGTTTGGTCAGAGACATTCACACCAGTGACCTGCTGGAGGTCATTTTGCAGGGCTCTCGCAGTGCTCATCTTTTCCTCCTTGCACAAAAGAGCAGATACCGGTCCTGCTGATGGGTTAAAGACCTTCTACGGCCCTTTTCAGCTCTCCTAGAGCAACTGCCTGTCTCCTGGAATCTCCTCCGTGCTCTTTAGACTGTGTTGGAAGACACAGAAAACCTTGTGGCAATGGCATGTATTGATGTGCCATCTGGAGGAGTTGGACTGCCTGTGCATCCTCTGTAGGGTCCAGGTTTTGCCTCATGCTACCAGTAGTGACACTGACCCAAGCCAAATGCAAAACTAGTAAAAAAAAAGTCAGAAAAGATGAATAAATAAAAAAATGTCAGTGGCCCCACCTGTAAAACCATTCCTGTTTTGGGGGTCATCTCATTGTTGCCCATCTAGTGCACCTGTTGTTAACTTCATTAACACCAAGGCAGCTGAAACTGATTAAAAACCCCCCTCTGCTTCTTAACTGACAAGATCAATATCCCAGGATTTTAACTGACTTGATGCTATACTCTGATTAAAAAGTGTTCCTTTAATTTTTTCCAGCAGTGTATGCCAAAAGTATTGAGACACCCCTCCAAATTAGATTCAGGTGTTCCAATCACCTCCATGGCCACAGGTGTATAAAATCAACCACCATGCAGACTGCTTCTACAAAAATTTGTGAAAGAATGGGTCACTCTCAGGAGCTCAGTGAATTGAAGCGTGGTACCATGAAAGGTTGCCACCTGTGCAATAAGTCCATCTGTGAAATTTCCTTGCTACTAAATATTCCACGCTCAACTGTTAGTGGTATTATAACAAAGTGGAAGCAACTGGGAACAACAGTAACTCAGCCATGAAGTGGTAGGCCACATAAAATGACAGAGCGGGGTCAGCACACGCTAAAGCCCACAGTGCGCAGAAGTCGCCAACTGTCTGCAGAGTCAATAGCTAAAGACCTCCAAACTTGGTGTGGCCTTCAGATTAGCACAACAGTGCGTAGAGAGCTTCATAGAATGGATTTCCATGGCCAAGCAGCTGGATCCGAGCCTTACATCACGAAGTGCAATGCAAAACACCAGATGCTGTGGTGTATAAAGCACACTGCCACTGGACTCTAGAGCAGTGGAGACACATTCTCTAGAGTGATGAATCATGCTTCTCTGTCAGGCAATCCGATGGACGTGTCTGGTTTGGTGGTTGCCAGGAGAACGGTACTTGTCTGACTGCATTGTGCCGAGTGTAAAGTGTGGGGGAGGTGGGATTATGGTGTGGGGTTGTTTTTAAGGAGTTGGGCTTGGCCCCTTAGTTCCAGTGAAGGGAACTCTTAAGGCATCAGCATACCAAGACATTTTGAACTATTTCATGCTTCCAACTTTGTGGGAACAATTTGGGGATGGCCCCTTCCTGTTCCAACGTGACTGCGCACCATTGCACAAAGCAATGTCCATAAAGACATGCATGAGCGAGTTTGGGGTAGAAAAACCTGACTGGCCTGCACCAGAGGTGTCCCTAGGGTAGGTGTCACCCGGTGTGGTAACACTTGGTGACACCCCTTCCAATGATCAAGGTAAGTTGTAAAGGTAAGTTGTAAAGAAAGCCGACGATCCCCGCAGAATGGATTGGATCGGTGGATTGAGTATAATGCATAATGGATCAGACTCCGATCCATTATGCTCTCCAATCCGCAGATCCGATGCATCCTGCGGGAATCGTCAGCTTTCTTTACAACTTCCCTTTTCTTGGAGTGGGTCCGGTGTCACCCCCCTGTGTAGGTTGCATGCTGACGAGTATCGTTGGCATGCAACCTATACGGGGTGACACCGGACACGCTCCAAGAAAAGGGAAGTTGTAAAGAAAGTCGACGATCCCCGCAGTATGCATCGGATCGATTCTGCAGGGATCGTTGGCTTGCTTTACAACTTACCTTTTTGTGAAGTGGGTCCGGTGTCACCCCGTGTGGTCGGTGTCACCCGGTGTGGACCGCACCCCCCGCACCTGCCTCGGGACGCCACTGGCCTGTACAGAGTCCTGGCCTCAACCCAATAGAACGTCTTTGTGATGAATTAGAGCGGAGACTGCAAGCCAGGCCTTGTCGTCCAACATCAGTGCATGATCTCACAAATGTGCTTCTGGAAGAATTGTCAAACATTCCTATAGACACACTCCTAAACCTTGTGGACAGCCTTCCCAGAAGAGTTCAAGCAGTTATAGCTGCAAAGGGTGGACCAACTCAATATTGAACCCTACGGACTAAGACTGAGATGCTATTAAAGTTCATGTGCGTGTAAAGGCAGGTGTCCCAATACTATTGCGTACAGACGTGCAAACTCATGTCGGGGGAAGGTCAAGGGGTCAGATGCATAAATAGCCTATGGATAATGTTGTGGAGATGCAGCCCTCCTCAGATGGGGAGATCAACAAACTGGAAGAAAGTGTTGAGGTGGTGCAAACACCTAGTGCATTGTCCAAGGTTTATTAAAAGTATAAAAGGACAAAATATATACTCACAAACATGCATGTATGTAAAGGATATAAGGCATAGAAATATCTGAGTGCACTGATGGCGGTTTCTGTGATTTAAAAAAAAAATGGGATAAATTTGTTTCAGAACTTTTTCACTATTTTGGTGTGAAATCTTCCGAGGGGGGAGTAAACATAAAAAACTGTGTATCTGTATGGCTGGGGACGTAATTGTGTTCAGATTTAAGCAATCACATTCACAGAAATAGGAGTCGTACATATGATTTGCATTAACAAATAATGTCCAGCTGTAGGTATTTCCTGACATTTTCTTAGTTGCATCCTACAGCAAAAGCCATGGTCCACAGAGAACTTCCAAAGCATCAGAGGGATCTCATTGTTAAAAGGTATCAGGTCGGGAGAATGGTACAAAAGAATTTCCAAGGCATTAGATATACCATCAGACACAGTGAAGACAGTCATCATCAAGTGGAGAAAATATGGCACAACAGAGACATTACCAAGAACTGGACGTCCCTCCAAAATTGATGAAAAGAAATTTATGAAAAGAAAACTGGCCTGGGAGGCTGCCAAGAGGCCTACAACATTAATCCTGGGTTTATACTGATGCGGTAGAATTTGCACCGGTTTCTGTGCGAACCACAACAATCGGTTCATGCAAACCGCTGCGGGTGTATTTTTTAACAACACCCTGAAATCAGTTTGCAAAATGCTGGTGCTGATTGGGGCATAGGTATTCTGGTGCAGGCAAAACAGGGTCCTGCACTATTTTGGTGTGGATCCGATGTGATCTGTAGGCTCAAATTGCACTGCCACAGAAATCGCATATGATTTGCACAAACCAATGCAATGTAGTTCTTGAGCGAATCACATGCGATGTGCCACACTGCATATGTGTGAACCCAGGCTACAGGAGATACAGGAAAATCTGGCAAGTACTGGCTGTGTGGTACACGTAACAACAATCTCCTGTATTCTTCATATGTCTGGGCTATGGGGTAGAGTGGCAAGACGGAAGCCTTTTCTTACGAAGAAAAACATCCAAGCCTGGCTAAATTTTGCAAAACCACATCTGAAGTCCCCAAAAGCATGTGGGAAAATGTGTTATGGTCTGATGAAACCAAGGTTGAACGTTTTGGCCATAAGTCCAAAAGATATGTTTGGAGCAAAAACAACACTGCACACCACCAAAACACCATACCCACAGTGAAGCATGGTGGTGGCAGCTCATGCTTTGAGGCTGTTTTTCTTCAGCTGGAACTGGGTCCTTAGTCAAGGTAGAGGGAATTATGACCAATCAAAAATCTGTGGGGTGATATGAAGAAGGTTGTGCACAGGAGATGCCTTCGCAATCTGACAGATTTGGAGTGTTTTTGCAAGGAAGAGTGGGAAAATATTGCCAAGTCAAGATGTGCCATGCTGATAGACTCGTACCCAAAAAGACTGAGGCTTGAATCAAATCAATGGGTGCTTCAACAAAGTATTAGTTTAAGGTATGCACACTTATGAAACCATATTATTTTAGTTTTTTATTTTTACTTCCCTCCACCTAAAAGATTTCAGTTTGTTGTTCAACTGAGTTGTACAGTTTATAGTCACATTAAAAGTGGAAAAAGTTCTGAAATGATTTATCTTTGTCTCATTTTTTTACATCACAGAAACCTGACATTTTAACAGGGGTGTGTAAACTTTTTATATCCACTGTATGCTGTGTGCTACATAAAATGTTGGTGCTATATACGTACCTGTAATAATTATTTTTTTAAAAAACTTACTTTGTTCACATGTACAGTTATGTTCAAAATAATAGCAATGTGTTGAAAAAAAGTGAATAAAGCTCAAAATCCTTCTAATAGCTTTTATTTCCATACACACAAATGCATTGGGAACACTACACATTCTATTCCAAATCAAAACATGAAGAAAAATATATCAAATTTGTGTTGTTCCTCTAAAAAAAAATGAAGAAAAGTGAATATTAGACTGTTCAAAAAATAGCAGTGTTTGTATTCTTCTTTACAAACTCAAACATTCACTATATAAAATGAAAAATGTTTGAAGATTTTGCTTTCCTTTGAATCACTTAATTAATATTTAGTTGTATAAGCACTGTTTCTGAGAACTGCTGTACATCTGTGTTGCATGGAGTCAACCAACTTCTGGCACCTGTGATCAGGTATTCCAGCCCAGGATGATTGGACTACATTCCACAGTTCTTCTCCATTTCTTGGTTTTGCCTCAGAAACTGCATTTTTGATGTCACCCCACAAGTTTTCTATTGGATTAAGATCCGGGGATTGGGCTGACCACTCCATAATGTCAATCTTGTTGGTCTGGAACCAAGATGTTGCACGTTTACTGGTGTGTTTGGGGTCGTTGTCTTGTTGGAACACCCATTTCAAGGGCATTTCCTCTTCAGCATAAGGCAGCATGACCTCTTCAAGTATTCTGATGTATTCAAACTGATCCATGATCCCTGGTATGCGATAAATAGGCCCAACACCGTAGTATGAGAAACATCCCATATCATGATGCTTGTGCAACCATGCTTCACTGTCTTCACAGTGTAATGTGGCTTGAATTCAGTGTTTGGGGGTCATCTGACAAATTGTCTCCGGCCACTAGACCCAAAAAGAACAATCTTACTTTCATCAGTCCACAAAATGTTGCACCATTTCTCTTTAGGCCAGTCAATGTGCTCTTTGGCAAATTGTAATTTGTAACCTCTTCAGCACATGTCTTTTTTTCAACAGTGGGACTTTGCGGGGGCTTCTTGCAGATAGCTTGGCTTCACATAGGCGTCTTCTAATTGTAACAGTACTCACAGGTAACTTTAGACCTTCTTTGATCTTCCTGGAGCTGATTGTTGGCTGAGTCCTTGCCATTTTGGCTATTCTTCTATCCATTCGAATGGTAGTTTTTCGCTTTCTTCCATGTCTTTCAGGTTTTGGTTGCCACTTTAAAGCATTTGCGATCATTTTAGCTGAGCAGCCTATCATTTTCTGCACTTCTTTATATGTTTTTTCCCCTCTCCAATCAACTTTTTAATCAGGGTACGCTGTTCTTCTGAACAATGTCTGGAACGACCCATTTTCCTCAGAATTTCAGAGAGAAATGCACTGTAACCAGCATGTACAACATTTGCTGCCTTCCTTCGTTAAATAAGGGCAATAATTGGCACCTGTTTTTCAAAGAATGAATGACCTCACTAATAGAACTCCACACTGCTATTATTTTGAACATGCCCCTTTCAATTAGTGATTCAATTACAGAGAATCAGCAGCATGCATGTCATGACTGTTGGGTCTGTTGGATTTCTATTACTCTACTACACCTGCTAGTAAATTATTTGCCATGTAGAAATATCATTTCTACCAAAAACAGTGATTGATCAGGTTAGTGATGTCTGACTGCTATTATTTTGAACACAACTGTATTTGCATAACTGAATAAACAATGGAAGCATGTGGAGATCAAGGCCCTGACCATGTCATCATTATATAAAACCCATTAGTGAAGTTCAAATACCTGCAACACCCTCCATATGAACTGTTGTTTAAAGCAGATCTAAACCCACCTATCCTTTACAGCCATGGAAGCAGCCATCTTAGCCTCTGTTTGGCAGTGGCCATGGTGC